GTAAGTAATAATACTTAACCTTACCTTAACGTCGTAAACTAAATAAGATATATATATATATATATATATATATATATATATATATACACACACACACACACACACACACACATGCAACAATAAAAAAATGATTAGCTTACAAAGGATCAAAACAACCAATTCATCAAAATTCATGTGAAATTCAAACTGATTATATTTCATGGTTATGTGATCTTTCAAATAGTATGAATCATAACTTACGTTCACAACCATCAGGATTGTCTGGTCTGAAGTTCCAAAACCCTTTCTTGCAGTGATCACATCTTCTTCCTTCAACATTCTTTTTACAGTGACAAACTCCTGCTACAGTCCCCATGATTGAGTCATTATGAGGTTCACAGATACCTTTTCCTAAGGTGCCATAAGGATCACAGTCACATGCTGTAAAAGTCACATGAAAAATTTATCAATTTAGCTTTTACATATATTCATTATGCACAGGCATGGAAAAACAACCCTTAAATTTGTCTGAATATTTATGTATTTAAAAAAAACAGCTACAATTCTAAGATATGTACTGCAATATTGGTATTGGTTTCATGTCCTCACAAAAGTCCAGTTCTACTTATTTTTCATCAAACACACTAAATTCTATACATTTATACACTAATCATAAATTTGGAAGTAATTTTTTTACATAAAATATACACATCAATTACCTAAAACCACTCATGAATAAACCACAATATAAATAGAAAAGACAAAAAAAAGATGGCTGCTATTTCCACTTGTAATCCCACATAATAAACTAAATAAAGGCACAAAAGTTTACATGCCAGCAAGTTTAGATTATATATTTAAATAAAGGAAAACTTTATTTCTTGTGTAGAGTAAGAAACTAAGTTGTTGAACTATTCCTGACAAGATATATGCATGAAATTAACACATACAAATCTAAGCCATTACTTACAAAAGCTTGTGTGTAAGCGTTTCTGCTTATTTCTGGTAAATTTATGGACTGATTGGCACCAAACATGGCATGTACACTTAGGTTCCTCAGGAATTGACATAGGGTTGTCAGCATTCAGATCTGATCTCCTTATGTCACCCCCTGGAGCCTCCTACATCTTTCCCATGCCTTGAACAGGCGCATCAGCTAGTAATTATTATTTTAAGCACCAGTATGTTTATGAAAAAAGTATGAAAACTTTTTAATCAGTCAGTACAATTTTATTTATTAATTTTCTTCATTTGTTAAATTTCATTGAATCAGTAACATAAATTTGAAGCTTTAATGTAAATCCATGAAGATTAATAATTCTATTACACAAAAATTCATTTAAGAATTATAGGTCTAAATAGGGACGTTCATGACCTATAGTAAAGACATGATGATAAGTGTTTAGGCCTTACAGCCCCTCCTTCCCTCACCTATGGTGTTCTTTGTAATGGCCCTGGTTATAAGCTGTTTCTCTGCATCACTATATCCACTGTATGAGGCTTTTGTACAATACACTGAAATCAATGTTGTCCCCTGTCTCCTTTACATACTTTCCAAATTCTCCCAAAAATGCATCAACATCAATTCCCAAGAACACAACTGAGCAACCAAAATGGATAAAAATCAAATGGGATAATATATGCAAGTGGTATAGCATGAATTTCTGATTGTATTTGTATTTTTTAGGGGAACTTACATGTTGGCTTTGATGTGTGGCTGCATGCTTTGTATTGATGAAATTATATTTTATTAGCATCCAGTCCACAGAAAGATGATAGTATGCAGAGGCTTTCTTGGTGTTTTTCTCAACCATCCAGATATTTAGCTTACCATTACCGAAGAAACTGAAATCATTGTAAATCTCATGAAAAAAAGTTCTGTGATATGCTCTGTGCCATTTTTCAAACATTTTTATCCCCAGCAAAATGATAATAAATTGCTTGGATTTTTGCAGACACATAAGTAATCTTATGCTTTGTCTAATTTGATGTCTTATTTCAACTTGTTAGATGTCTAATACCACTTTCAATAGTTGATCTTCTACTCATCTATACTGTATAGGAACATAGCTTACAGCTCTGGTGTTACTTTTGAAGACCTAGACCTGTGTGAATTATTCTATTTACAGTTCCAAAGTTCCCTTGTTATACCAAAACAAGACAACATTACAGATACTCCCTCTTCAATATACTTAAAAACTTATATAATAGTTAAATAAGAGAACTTTGCCTCAGAAAGTCCAACAATGTAACCCTCTCAATGTTGGGTGGAGGGCAATTTTCAGTGCCATCTATACTTACAAGACACTAAACTTCAACTGAACTGCAACAAAAGTGTCAGGGCTTTTAACCTGTATACACCACGGAGATGGCCAGGGGCAAGGTGATCACATATGCAAGTTGTTACCACAGACTATGAACAATTCTTTGTAATAAAACTTTTTTGAATAAATGTTAAATTGATAACTAAAATTTTATCCTTTTATGTTGCCATAATATTTGATATATTAATACCAAAAATTGCAAACAGAGACAACTTGTGATTAATCTAATGTAAATATATTTTCAATTTTGTTTAAAAAATCTAATTATAATGCCACATCATTAGTTACTGTAAGAAATGAAACAAAAAATAATCTTTGTTACAATTAACAAAAATCTTACAAATAGCATTAGACACATTTACAAAATTTATTTTGTATTACAGATACTCCCTCTTCAAAACACTTAAAAGTTTATATAATAGTGAATTAGGAGAATTAGAACATTGCCTCAGAAAATCCTATAACTTAACCCCCAGTCTAGAGAAATCTATAGCCAGTGATTGTCGACATTTTAAGCCATATATTTAATTTAAGAAAAACTCTCAAATTTTCGTTTCTTTAAGAAATAAATTACTATATCAAGTTGAGTAGAAACAACTATATAAGTTAGACTTTACATACAAACAACCTACTTGAATTTTTTCATGTTGAACTTACTTCCTTATGTAATCATAGTCTCATCTTTAAGAGGAAATAATCAGCTTTTAAAATAAAGAAATCTAAAAAAGTTAAATTTTCATACACACAACAAAAAAATACAAAATGTTAGTTTTAACATCATGGTAAAGTTTTTCTTTTCATAATAGTGACCTTATATCTTTGTACTCACGTTGGCAGACATCTGGATGCGTTATATCAAGCCTTGAGTCACGGAAATAAAAAGGTCTGCACTGTTCACAGTTCTGACCCATTGTATAATGCTGGCAGTTGTCACACACACCTCCACTCACTCTTCCACTTGATTCCCACACTGCTGGGTCAAAATGACATCTAGTGGCATGTCCATTGCAATTACACTCTATACAAATATCAATAAAAATATATATATTTATAATTTGATAAAGACCACAAACAGTCATGGGAAATACATCACTCTTGTTAAGAACTTGGCACTTCTAACTTATCCATTGCAATTATACTCTACATGAACACCAGTAAAATACAAATATGGTTAATAACTTTGACACTTCAAATTTATTTGCACATTTATTTTCTGCCATTCGAGAATGTTTCAATAGAGATTTGCAACATGAATTTGAATTTTTATCCTAAACAAACCTTATTTGCATGCAGTCTAAATGATCAGGCCTGAAACCTCAAGTTCAAGTGTAGGCTGTCCCTAATTTTAAACTACTGACCTAAGGAAAAGGCTGCCAGCCAGTAGTACCTGCTGTCATGAGGTCTTTTTTTTAGCTATTTGAACAAAATAATAATATTTATGTTACTTTTATAATACAACAACATTTGAAAGTGCTGAAAGTGTCCAGTCTGAAATCGTGGATACTACTCATTAACTAACGCCTAGTGCCTAGCCTTTCAACACCACCTGAACATTTTTAAACTGACTTTAAACAGTTAACTGAAATACCATTAAAAACAAAGTCAAAGCTTTTTTTTTCTTTTATGCTTGGTAATGTTTGATTAGGATGCTACATAAAGATTAAGATAACATTATTCTGAGGTCCTCACAAATGCAGCTGACCTTCACTGGATGAAAATATACACATACTTTCACATGCATTAGTCTGTTTGCCAATTGCAGGTTTCCATGGTTTATCATTATACATATCTTCACACTGTTCACAATTCATTCCTTTTGTATGGTGGGTACAAAGGCATTTTCCATACACCTATAGTAGCAAATACAGAGAAAATATCCTTGTTAGAGATTCTCAAACCAAAAACTTAAAAAAACACGAAGAAAAAAACATTTTCTAACACTCTACTTGATAATTCAAATCCTTTTTCCCCATACTCAGAAAAGCTACACAATGAACTATCTATGTTCTGCCCACTGTGAGTATCAAAACCTTGTTTTTTGCATCATAAGTCTTATGACAATTAATGGATTAGCTAATACCATTAATCATTCAGCTTTAGTTATGATACAAAAATATACAGAAAAAAAGACATTCCAAGAGAAGGAAACATCCCTCTTCCAAGTAGGAAAATATAGAGGAGAGAAAAATCAAACAACAGAGAACAAAGACAATCTTAACATTAATGATTGGTGTCTTGAAGGTAGGAGAATCAAAAGTTTTATTGGATAAATAATGAAAGTGACAGATAAGAAATAAAAAATAAAAAAAACAAGAAAAATTGTCAACTATTAATAAGTATTAATAAGTAAATGTTAACACAAATGACTGAAGAATATTCCATGAGATTCATACAACCACGTTTCAGGCTTCAAAACTACTTATATGAATCTCAGAATAAGTTATTAAATGAAATAATAAGAAATGTTATAGTACTGAAAACTTACTCAGATTACAGAGTAGGTTATAGCTTTAAAATCAAAAAAACATATAACCACTTCACCAGAGTAAGACATGATTCTGTTACTCAAACTAGAAATATGATATGAAATGTAAAATGGAAAGTATTTAAGTAAAATTTTTTCAGAGTTTTTATGCCAAGGTAAACCAATAAACTGATAAAATTCATAGCCAGCATTACTGCAGTACAGGTACATTAGGCAAGAAATGCCAATGGCCCAATACTGCCTTAAGACATCTGTGTGTGTGTGTATATATACATAGGAGCTGGGTTATGAAATATTCTTCAATTTTGCTATAGATTAAAATTTGTTCAGTACTTAGGTTTAAAAAAATATGTTCAGAGAGATGAGTCTGCTTTATTACTAATAGTTCACTATTTTACTGTGTTTATAGTTGACTTTTAGTTTTGTGTGTGAATCATTTTTAAACTTTAAAATATATCTAGATTAGGAACTTACCATATCTGGCCCTGTAGGCTGTCCAAGTTCTCCTACACATTGATTAGCATGGCCATAACACGAGCAGCTTCCTCTTACAACCATTTCATAAACAGCATAGTAATATTTCATTTTAATTTGTTTGCTTTGGTCCAAAAGGTTGTCTCCCAAAGTGTGAAGCTTGGTAAAGTTAATGCGAAGATTTGTAATTTTCAAAAGATCCTGAATTTCAGAACTGTAAGGGTCATCCACTTCAATATTAGGAGGAAGAACCCTGAATATGACCTGGATAATTAAGAAGAAACACATACATAAAAAAGTTATTCAGATATATAAAAAAGAAATATTTTTTCCAAGAACATTAATAAACAATGAAGTACAGAGGATCGAGTATACTGTATTCAAATAAATTTGAATATGCAAATCAGTAAGTTCAGATGATAATCACAGCTGATATAAAGTTAAAGTGGAATGAAATGTATCAGGACAATAATATAAAAAAGTTTATGAAGCAGCTCTTTCTGATGCAAAATATTCATACACTCAGATCATAAAGATGTGATGAAATTGAGGATTTATAATTCACAAGATAGGGATATCCCTTGTACTTAATGGCATTGGAAAACAAAGGGAGATGGATCAACATGGGGTACCAAGACCATCTAGAAAGAGACCTGCAATACATAATACCCCAGCTGTGGTAAGCAAAATGTGGTGTCTTGTAACAAATGAGAGTACACAAACATAAAATTCAGCAGGAAAAGCTGACTACATACCCAAGGCAACAATATGCCATATAATCAAGAAGGATCTCTGTCTGGGAAAGTCACATGTACACAAGTAGCTTCAACAACACATCTTTTCAACCATCACTCACCTCAGAAAGTTGGTGAACTAAATGGATATTCAGGCTGTTCCATATAAAGACATATACTGGTCAAGTTGCCAGACACAGCACCTGTGGATTTCTGTGTGTTCAAACTATTGAAATTGCTTTTCTTGTACCCTAGATGAATTACGTAAAGCCAGTAGAGAAGAATGGTGTGCTTTGGACATGACAACAACTTCACATGGGACCCTTTTGCAATAAAACTATTCTGCATGGGCAGCATGGTTATTGACAAGATGCATGGTCCTCAGGTAGATTATTACCAGTCATGGCAACAAGGACTCTAATCATATGGTGAGGCTACAAATTTCTTTTAATATAATGTACTCAACCTCTGCAATCTGGGTTTACAAGCAACAAATAGTTTCATATAAGTGATGATCCAAAAACACTTTCACCCCAAACTAGACCCAACACTGTGATTCTCTACACAAAGACTTCTTTCTCACACTATCCAAAGATAATTTCCTAATATTCCTCAAATAAATAAATTATTTTTATCTTCATCAGCTTTGGCATTGTGACCACTTAAATACTAACTGTAAACATCTGTGGTACTAAAACAAAAATAAATAAAAAAAACAGTTATTTGAAACACACTAAACCACTGAAATTACTCAGATATTCAGAATTTTACTGAATATGAAGATTGAAGAATGTTGTTTGATAATATGGCAACAAAAAATATAAAAATTCAGACCACCACACAAAAAATTGTCAGCATTTAAAAATGTAAGTCTGTAAAAAAAAGGGGGTGATTTCATTAAGTCGCTTAAAATTAGAGCTCAATAAGATAAAATCTAGAAGTAAATTATAATACCCAAAGTAACAAACACTTCAAATTTATTTAAATATTCAGAAATGCCACTACGAAAATTAGAAAACAGAAAAAATAGTCAATAACCATCATTTCAAATAGCGGAGATCATGCAGCCATGAGTTATTCAAATTTATTTAACTACTTGTAGCTCTATCCTGAGTTTGCATACTAGACTTGCATCCTAGATGGACATTTTGTGATGCATTTAACCATTCTATGATATTTTATGTTTTTTGAAGTTTTATCAAGCTACTGTCTTCATCAAGAAGAAAATAACAGATTCAGACAGCCAATTAACTCTATACTGAATATTTAACACTTAAATGTTATCTTTAATATTGTAGTCAATATAACCTTTTTAGAAAGAGCCTTTGTCTTGTAAATATATCATTATTTGTTGCTTCTATTTTTAGTGTTAACTATTAAGCTATTTTAAGACAAAATAGGTCTTAACTTCCAGACTTTAATGTAAACATAATATATACAGTCTTTGGAATAACTGCAAGTAATTTTACTGTTAACTTTTCTTTTAGAAAGTGATCTACTTACCAGGCTTGAGAATTTTGCTAATTGAAACTTTGGGTTAATGTGTAATTAAAGTTTACAGTTTAATTGGTTTGAGGTAAGTGAGTTGGTAGCTAATAATGAAACCCATAATGACAGGCCATGCTTGATTAAAACCCAGGATTTTGAATTCAGGTTTTGGTAAAAACACAATGCTTCTTATAAGTTGGAAAACAGAGCATACTGTTTGAAAGCAACATTTGGAATGATTTTTTATGTTTAAGCTTTCTCAGTGACCTTTTTCTTTTACTTGTTTGTAGGGTTAGCTAGCTAGCTGTTGTTTAATTCAAGCAAACAGATAGGGTTAAGTTTTATACTCCTAAAGTTAAAACAAAAATTAGAACTTTGTTCTTAAAGCAGAATTACAAAGCATGTTATCAGTATAAGTATTTGGATGTTTTGTGGCATGTTTTGTAAATAAACTGAAGCTATGTAAAAGGGGATTTTACTGTAATTTATTCTTATTTGGGTTCTTGGACATTTAACACTCTTCCAAAAGCATTTTCTTAAGCCAATGTAATTAACAACAAAAGATGAAAAATCTACTAGACTATAAACATTTTCATACACAATACAAAACACAGTATATGAGAATTAAAGTTTGACTAATTTTGGCAGTTCTGATTTTTAAAAGAAAGTTGTTTGTGTTTACCAAATTCATGGGCTTAAGTTCTTTAGTGTTATATACAGTATTACCTCAACTTTACCTTAGATAACTGTATATTTATTCATTCATTCATCCTAATCTTAAGCTTTAATTTTTATGTTAACAGATAAATTATATTAAATGTGTTGTATCAGAGAATAAGACTAAAGCTTCTTTTAAGATGCTTAAAAACTATTAAGAAGTTTAACAGGATTTGTATGCAGTAACTTAGTTTATAATTTCACAAATACTATAGTTAGGTAGTTAACATTAGTTGTTGTATGTGATAGCAAATGTTGTTTGATAACACTGATGTACAGTTGAGGATTAATACATTTATAATACTGAGAAACTATATCACTCTCATATAATACTGTAAATCTTTTTAATTTATTAAAAATCTTAATTACAGTTTTGTTAATTTTGGTATATTACACATTTTCTTTAGTGGTAAGGCATAATATAGAAAATTAATAATGTGTGAAGAATCACTATCTCAGTGTAAAATGTTTATTCCTTTTTTTTTGACAATGCTTTTTTTTTCATAATAGAATAACATCAGTATTATTATCTAGCATGACTTTTAAGATGTAACTACCAAACCCACAACTGGCTGTGGATGGTGGATTCAGTTGGACTCAGGATGTTGTGGGCTTGATCTTCCGAGCCTCATCTCTTACTGGTTTTTTCACCCTTGTCTTGGTAGATAACAGTAAAGATGAAGTTTCCCAAAAACTGTTCAGGTACTAACAACTACAGTTATATCCTATAATAAAAATGTTCTTTTTTGCAAGATTTACATCTTATTCTATTTTACTGATCTTTGTTAATGAGTGAATATGTTAAGTGTGTGTGTGTATATATATATATATATATATATAGTTTATTTACTTACCTTTTTTTCAGTAGCTTCTTAAGGGTTATAATTCATTATTGGAACAGTACAGACAATATCAAAAGTTTAATTTTTCTGCACTGCTATTCCAAAAATATTTACAATGCAAGATCATTAATCTTTAGGTACTGTATTATTTTTTTAAAACATGTTACAAAAGCTCAAGTTGTAATAGAATATCCCTACCTCTCCCTCTGTGGATGGCTCAACTCCAGAGTAGCGAGAATCACAGACCACATCTGTCACCCTCTCTCTTGGCTTATTTGGTATTCCTGGGAAGGAATCTGCACAGCTGTAGGCAAAATACTGGTACACCTATGTATATATTAGCAAGAAGTGATTATATATCTATAGTTTATAACATGACTTATTTTCTAGGAAGTATCTCACCTATTACATTCCAAAACAAACATTCTAAAAAAATGGTTAGAATTACAGTTTTTTCACTTAAAAAAATTTAAAGCTATTGAGAGTTCTTTATAACTCTAGCTGGTAAAAATAATTGGGATTAACTGTTATTATGAACTAATTAAATCATAATAATTAAATAGCACCATCATTTCACTAGTTTAGCACAATCAGGGTTAGATAGATCAATTATCAATGACTTCTACATATTTATTTGAACCACCCATTTGGTTTTGTAATTTATTTTCTAACAAATGTTACTTCACTACAAAAGCACATTTTGAAGTTTGTGAAACTATTTAAGATATATTTGAAAAATTGCTGTTGATATCAAAAACTTGGTTTGGATAATTGTTTTTGTATTTCTAGTAAATGTTCTACTTAAGAAATTTTATTTTGGTAATTATTAAACAATTTTACTGGTCCAAATAGAACCACTGAAGGGATAAAATACTTTTTAACAAAACATTTTATTGACACTTAATAATGATAGTTGGAACTAAAAGTGTTACATTTTAAACAGAGAATTATGTATGTATGTATATATATATATACAGCTCTAATTTTCAATCGTATTGAAAAGTATTATCTAGGATGATATAGCATGTTTCACCTAAATGTATTAAATGAGCAAAAAATAGCTCAAACTGTGATTCTTAAAAACAACTAGAAATATAAACATTTGATTTCAAAATATTAAAGAATTATTCTTATTATAATCTTTATAAGCTAATTAAAGAAAGAACTGATAAGTCACTTTAGCAAAACAATGTAATATAAATACAAATTATTCAATCTGTACACACTTTCCAAGTTCTTCCAAAATCATAAGACCTTTCAATAAGCATGGCAGCAGGTCTAAATGTTTTAAAGGTGATGATGAGATGAGTGAAATGAAATTCTGCCTCCAGATCCAGCTGGATTGTAACATTTTCTTTCCCATTTTCTGCCTGCCACCACTTCAAACGATTACCTCCAATCCTATAAAAAATTTTATATTATAATGCATATTTGATTTATAGTTGTTTGATTTCACTAATAAAGAATATAATTATCAACATTTTTACCTACTGTTTCTGAGAACATTTAGTTATTATATTATTGTATTCTAATTACAAACTTTTCAACTGGTAAAAGTAAAATCCAAAACAGATAATCAAAGTTTCTTTTTCATTTCTCATGATTTGAATTAATACAATAAGATAATTAAATTTCTTTAAAGGAGATACAAGCAACGTGATATCATTCATTTTTACCTTGATACGATATTTTCAATTTCATGAGACCTTTGAAGATCCTGTGAGTCACAAACAAAACATTTTTTTCTTTCCTTCAAATGACTAACAATACAGAACTGTTCCTTTTTCTGCTGTCCACATGTTGAAGAAGCCCACAGGTACTTTTGCCGACCAATCAACAGATTCCCTACTGCTGGATAGCAGCTTGACTCATTGCAGGCATGAGGATATGTTCTTCCTGGAAAGTAAGTTCTTACTCAATCAAAACAGTTAGATTCATTTTAAAATGATGTCTATAACACAATAGACTACATGTATGTACTATCAATTGTACTTCATGCTGCAAATTCTTCTTTTCACATGGAAATACTTAAACACTGTCATCATTATCAATTCATCTGAGGATCACACTTTTAACTTTACACTTAACATTATACTCATTAATAAGATACTCAATAATGTTCTCTCTGGAGTTTCATGCACAAAAAGTTTCAAACTGTATAAAAAATTACTTTAAACTTCTTCCTGCTGTTACAAATTTATTATTTAAATTGCACTATTATATAGTACAACATGTGTGTAACAATGCTACCAACTGGCTTTCTTTTTCTGTAGAAACTTTCTTGATTATAAATCTAAATTTATTTCAGGATAGATGTTTAATGTTCATTCACATTAAAACTAAATGCTTGTCTGTCTAGTAAAATACCCAAGTTTGAGAATTGCAATATATTAAGTTTATTCTAATTACAAAGAATAAAAATCAAAATCAGGTAGCACTCTTCTATTCAGTTAAAAAATGCCTTGCTAGCAGTAGATACAGAGTTAGCATTTTAGCTCAGATGGTACGTGAGAGGTGTTGGATTCAATTCAGAGACATGCAAAAACTTAGATTACCAAGGAAAAATTAGCACTCAACAAGAGGTATAGGGGTCAGTCTCAATACATGAAAATTTGATTCCTACAGGCAATTTTCTCAAGACCCTAATATTAGGTAGGAAGTATTCAAGTACTTTGAACAGTTACCCTTTTATCTCAAATGCTAGAATGTTTGATTGTGCAAGAGGTACTAATTTTGATCTTGGGACAAGCTTAGTTTCAACAAAGTTAAAGAACTTTAACCTTAGGTATTTTTTACTTTTAAAATCTTAGGTATGTCTTGAGTTTGTATTTAGAATTTTCTTAGCAAGAAAATTATTCATACTGACTTTAACATAACTTTAAAGCATTATATGCTAATCAGAAAGAAGACAAATCATGAGACATGTACTAATTTTACAGTATCAATATTTTGGGCATTACTTCACCAAGATAATATTCTACAGTTTATCTGTCTGTTACTCTTGTAATGCAAAAATAAGTTAGAAGTTTATTTAGAAGTCTGCTTGCAAATTCTCTTACATTACTACACAAAAGTGCACATACTTAATGATTTATTCAGAAATTTAAAAATTGCTGCTATAAGCTAAGCTACATTCATGAAAAAACTGTTTATAAAAATGTTTTAAAACCAAACATAAAAAAATAACTCTTATAGACAAATAAGTAATGTTTCTAGAAGAGTATGTGGTGGAAAGAAGTATGATAAATACATATAAACTTTAAACTTTGACTATTTCTTTAATTGTATAAATAGGGTTAGCATTTAAGACTATTTTCCTAAAAAAGGCAGAATGAACTTTCTGATTATAATTTTACTCTCTCATTCTATGTAAAGTAAAAATATAATTAACATTTCCATAATAAAGGCGTGTCAGAGTAGGAGTCTATGTAGTGTTTTCAATTCATTCTTTAACTGTTGGAATTTTATTTTGTTTTTGTTAGTACTGCTGCTGCTGTTCTGATTTTTCAATCACAGAAACAGTGCTAGCAAGTGTTTCGTATTTTGTGTAATTATTTGTAGTGTTCAAGCCAGGGGTGAAATTCTAAAAAAAAAGTAAAGATACTCAGCTGGGTGAAGTGGACCTGTTTCTGAAAAAAATAAAAAAAATTACGGGTAAACATAAAAAACAACAAAGCAACTCAAATAAGTCCTGGTTCTAGTACCTCCTTAAAAAATATGTTACGGTACTCAGTACCAGTGAGTACTGGCAGAATTTTACCCCTGATTCAAGCACAGTGTCAGTTAATATTTCAACTACAAAAGACCATCCATTTCCATCTATCATTTAAAATACTGAAACAAGTAGAAATAATTGATATTAGTTGTTAAATAATTTTTTTAACTTATTGAAATAAAAAGTGTGGAATGATAGTTAATCAATATTTGCTAAAAAAATATAAACTGTATATAGAAACTCAATTGAATTTCTTTACTTTAGACTTGATCAAAGTCCTGTGTTTAGGTCATCTTCTATTGAGTTTGGAAAACGGTATAAAGATACACAGGTGTTTATTTTTCAATTTTTTATATTTTGCTTCAGAAAATAAACTAAAAACAATAAAATAAAGCTTTGTTGTTGTTTTTCTGTGATTTATCATGTTAGTGAGAGCTCGGGAAAGTACTAATAATTAAAACACAAATATGACGTACAATATCAAATGTATTAGTTGTATACTCAATTATTTGAGCATATTTATGAATCCTCATCATTTTTTACCATGTATCTTGCATCGTGCAATGATGTGGAGATGTAAAACCCACTAAACTGCTCATTTTTACTTCTTCAATCTAACAGAAAATTATAAGCACACATAAAATCTGTAATAAAAATAATTATGGCCATATTAACTCCAATGACTGAGGCTTATTAATGCCTTATGAAAGAGATGAAAAGATTGGTCACAACTTTATAGCTTATTGCAATTAAACTGTATAATTCTAGATTTAGATTCAATAATACACTCAATTCAAGTTTGATTAGTTGCTCGAAATGTTTTTCAACTGGTACAGTGTAGAAACTGATGATTGCCAACCAATTTAGCAGATCATACATTTAGAACTGTTTTTTCATTTGGAAATATATATAAGTTGATAAAATTATCATGGGGAACACAACTATCAATGAATCTTTTTCACTTACTGTAAGAAAGCACAACCAAGACTGTAAATCTAGCTTTCACACTTGATATGTTACTAAATAGGGTTTAAATTATTTTGAAAACATGGTTTCTTAGCAAGAAAATGTAATAAAAGGTTATTGCTGTGATGATAAATGATAATGACATAGAAATTCACAAACTCATTAAATTCTAAATTTCCATGCAAAAACTCACTTAAAATTTAAATTGATAAAGAGCATATAAAAGAACAAAAACAGAGAACTTATAAACTTAATCAGCTACTGTCTATACAAATACCTAAAGGCAAATAAATTATGCAACATCCAACTTTTATGTCTAGATAGAGATAATTCACTATTCACCATGAATAAGACAAAAGGTATCTGGTGAATTTTTCAAGACCCAACTTTCATTTGAAGAGTGCAAAAAAAATAGAAATTTTACAGGTTTGAAACTGGATGATGAGATTGTTGTTAATAATATATTAACATCAGTGAAGAATATTATGACAAACAAACATAAACAACATCAACTCAACAATGTTTTATATTCTATCTGTCATGAACTTAAATAATGGTAAGACTGAAATGTTGTAAATCTACATTAATATAGAAACAAACTATACAAGTTTTGTAAAAACAATTTATAGAATTCAACTAATCTCCAGAAAATTATTCTATTTGTTCACAAATGCATAAATATGTTCTTTTATTTGCATTTGCAGTTTGTAGTATGTCTGTGCTTGATATAATTCCTTTATGAAACTAGTAAATCAAAACATTTTGAAACAAATAAAAGTATTTTCTAAACTCTAGTCATATTTTCATAAAACAAAAATTTTCACAAGGTCAACTATCCTACAGTCAACATTATAAACTTTGAAAAATGGCATAAAGATTTGTTAGTTTTACAGCAGAGGGCAAGGAAGTGTTTGTACTTCCAGCTATACATTCTGTAACAGTTTACACACAATAATATAGTACTAAACACATACACAAACTCAAGAGATTTATTACTAACTATTATGTTATGGTTCATACATATAATCAGGGGTGTGTGACAGACGAGAATACACTCCCAAAATTGCACCCATGTATCTATAAAACATATTTAACATGTGAAAAACAGCCCTTATGACTTTGTCATCTATTCCAACGTAACACTCCCCTTTATTGATCCTGCCTACACCCTTAAGGCTTTGGTAAATGGATATCAATCCTGTCATGGTTAGTAGCTGCCTATACAATCAGTTAAGTGTAATTATTATTTGATTCATTTTAATTACCATATACAAATTACTAATTAGTATCTACTAAATAAAAATAAACTAATGAATAATTAGACTAAGGTGATATTACAAGATTCACTACTGCTGTGTTGTGCCTACATTCTGTATCACTATATATATACTTAAAATGATGAATTAATAAATAAGTAAACAATCTCTTGAGGTCCGCTCCTGTTTGTATATTATGTAACAGTGCTTGTATTTTTAATAACATAGTGGTGTTAGATAAATACACAATATGAAGAGATATACAGTTTTGCTGTATGTAAATGTAATTTCATTAATTAGTAAAACAAATACATGAACTTGACCTTTGAGCCACTTCTTTGTGATTCTACATAAAATGAGAAAACATATTAGTTACATTGCCACAGTAGAACTGTTTTGAAATAAGTTTGTGTGTTTGTTTTGAATTTTGTGCAAAGCTATACGAGGACTATCTGTGCTAGCCATCCATAATTTAGCAGCGTAAAGCTAGATGGAAGGCAGCTAATCATCACCACCCACCGGCAACTCTTAGGGTACTCTTTTACCAACGAATAGTGGGATTGGCCGACACATTATAACGCCCCCATGGCTAAAAGGGCGAGCATGTTTGGTGGGACGGGGGATTCGAACCCACGACCCTCAGATTGCGAGTCGAGCGCCATAACCACCTGGCGTTGAAACAAGTTACTTAGGGCGTTCTTTGTTTGTCCACTTTACAGGTGTAAGTGTACCATATCCTAACATTTTCTGATCTTACAACAACCCGTTTTCTATGTTACGTTAAAAGCGTTATGTCTTGCAATAAATCATTCCATAATCCCCATGTGTAATATACCTTCTCTTTTCATTGTGATGACCTGAAATAACAATATGATATCTTTCCTTGCCATTGTGATGACCTGAAATAACAATATGATATCTTTCCTTGCCATTGTGATGACCTGAAATAACAATATGAT